GTGGAGAGATTCCAAACTATGCGTCCACATTGTAAAGACATACCCAGCGGTTTGTGTCTTTCTTTTTGTTCACCGCGGTATAGCAGGCGTCGCATGTGGGCGCCCCAAGGTGGAGCCGCAAAGGGTGGGGACAATCCAAGATTCGCGCCCAGATTGTGGAGATGTCTCAAACGATTTACCATGTTCCGCCCAGCTGAACTATATTTGGACTTGCGTGCTCCTCGATCAGTCTGTCACCTCCTTCCTCTGAACCCCACCCGGACGCACCCATATTTACTCATCAGCACCTCTTCCTCGCCCATAATCGCTCGCCACACTCAGACTGATTTGTACTCGTATGACGTACGAAAACACACTCAGGCTCACTCAGGCCTACTCGCTCATACTCATACTCGCTCGAAGTCGTACTTGCTTACGCCCAGGCTAACTCACACTCAGACTCCCTTGCGCTCGGATTCGCCCGCCCTCGTACTCACCCATATTCGAACTACCTCGCAACCAAGATTAGTTTGACTCAAACTTGTATTCACCACACTCAAACCCAGACCCGCCCGCACTCCGACTAGCTAGTACTCAGACTGACGTGTGCAGAAATTCGCTCGCAGGCCGTGTATGTTCAAGCTCTCTTGTACTCAGACTGACTATATCCAAGCTCATTCCCAATCATGCTCAATCCTACTCGGACCCGCTCACACTCCGACTCGCTCACGCTCATGTCACCCACGCCCATATTCACTCGCTCGAAGGCTCACGCGCAAGTGGCTACCGCGATATAGCTGGCGCGGCAATTAGACACCCCAAGTGCCAGCAGGCGCCGCGAGTAGCACGCGAGAGAGCGGGCGTAGCATCGCCATGCGCGCTTGCCTGAGTTGCCTCGGGGAGAACGGCAAGATGAAGCCCCCTTCGCTTTTCCTTTTGTGTGTTCCCTCGTCTGTCCTAAAAGATGTCCAGAGGAGGGGGACGTCATTGAACCCGTCGCTGTCGTCATCGTCGTCGTTACCGCACCTGTCGTCTACGCGACCGCGCTCTCACACCCTGATGCCCATAGACAGAGTTTCTCAGCGATGCGTCATAAGAGTCGGGGGTGCCCATATGAGAATCTCCACGCCGAATATATCCTCCCCGAGAAATGCAGACGCTTTACTTGCGGCTGGTTTTTCATCCCAGGTCATCTTTGACGGTCCTGGGGCCCTGCGAGGGGCCCCAAGAAGCCGAACGCGGCGAAAAACCTCTGCTTGTTTTTTGCTCAAGACGTTGGATGTCCGGGCATATCAGCATATCCCCACACCTGGAGCAACCGCGCCAGCGGCCAGCGCAGCGCCCGCTCGGCGGGGGTGGCGCGGGCCACGGCGCGGGTGAGGCTCGTGTGGGGGTGGGAGTGGGCGCCGACTGAAGCACCGGCACGTGTCCTGGCCGGGCCAGGTCTCTGGGCGCGGGATCGGTGCATACAGTAGGGGGACGAACACTGACATAAACATAAAAACTCGGAGGTCCGCGCGGATTTCTCGGATCCGCGCTGGACCCCCCTGGCGGCGCCTCCGGCGCCGCCCCTGGCTCGCTCCGCGCGCCAGGGAGGGGGGTCCAGCGCCGATCCGAGCAATTCGCGCGGGCCTCCGAGATTTTATGTTTACGTCCTTGTTCGTTCCCCTGATACAGTAGGGGCTCGACCACAAGACACCTGCCACAAGCAACCCGACCCCGAGACCCCAGGGGGGTCCCTCGATTCTTGGCGTCGGAGAGCGCCACGCTTTCCACAGCAAAGCCATGGAAGCCCAGGAAACCGAGGGCACCCTGGAGGCAGGCAGGGGGTTTCTTGGCGTGGGCCTCCACTGTGCTGTCGGGAACTCTGGCTCCGCGCGTCGCTCCGCCCTGCGGGGCGGGAGGCTTCGAGGGGCTCTGGGCGCCGACGCTTCGGGACTGGGGCGTGGCCAGCGTGCCAAGCTGAGGCGTGGTGGGCCAGGACCTGGCGTGCCCAGCTGTACCACCCCTGCCCATGCCAGGAGGGCGTGCAAACACGCGGGCCCTGGGCCCAGAAAGGGGGTCCGGCCAGGAGGGGCCAGGATGCCGCATCGAAGCTCGAGGCCTCGGACGCCGTTCGGTTCCCCCGGGCGCCGCGCCCCTGTGGCCACGCCTGGACTGCCAGGAGGAGGGAGAGGATGCAGGGTCGGTGTTACCCCCCCCTGGGAATCGAGCCCCGCCGCCCCCGAGGCCCTCAAAGGATGGAAAGGGGCGACACACATCGAACCCCGAAATTCGAGGGTCCCCCCCGAAGGGAAGGAGGAGGAGGGAGGGAGGGAGGGAGGGAGCGAGGGAGGGAGGAGGGAGGAGGGATGAGCCCTCCTCCCTCCCATCCTCCTCCTCCTCCTCCTTTCTTTCTTTTCCCTTATGCAAACTCCTCCCTGTCGCGCCCCGAGGCTGGTCGAAAGGGCGGGCTGTGCGTTTCGCCTGAGACTTCCTCATCACTTATGACCCTGAAGCTAAGCATACTTGCAACAGTTTC